TGCAGAAGGGAAGAACAGTTACGGGAGAGTATTATGCAGCGTTATTGGACAAACTGAACGACGAAATAAAGAAAAAACGGCCCCATATGGCGAAGAAAAAAGTTCTGTACCATCACGCTAGCGCACCGTTAAACACGTCCTTGAAAGCAATGGTCAAATTGAACCAATTACGATTCGAATTGGTTGCTCACCCACCGTATTCTCCAGACTTGACCCCCAGCGACTATTATCTGTTTCCAAAGTTCAAGCGGTGGTTCCGGGGAAAGAGATTCACATCGAATGAGGAAGTCATCGCGGAAACCGAGGCGTATTTCGAAGGCTTGGACGTTTCGTACTACAGAAAGGGCATCGAAATGTTGGAAAATCGCTATACCAAGTGTATCGCCCTCGAAGGCAACTATGTTGAGGAATAAATATAACTTTGTCCAAAAAACGCTTGTTTCATTAAAAATCTCGGGACTTTTCAGCCCATGTAGTATGTATATATATTTTTATAATTTAATTTTAATAATTTTAAAATAAAACTGACTTGTACACATCTTGAAGAGATTAAAGCAGGACATAAGCGTTACGTAGTAATTACTTTCCCTCTTCTTGTCCCACAAAGTTTATTGTTTTTGTTTTTTAATTCATTGTCGCTTTTGATGTATATTTCATTATGGTATACATTTTGAAAACTGATCTTTGTGTACGCGTCAAATTGTTAAGCGTGTATAAATATTATTTGATGTTTTTCTAATAAGATTGTAGGATACAAACGATTATAATTACATTACTGAATAATAATGAAAGGAGTAGCCTTAATTACGTTCAGATAATAGACATGCTTTCATACTACATCTAATATTTTGGTTTATCTTATTAATAATGTCACCTTAATGATGTCCTTTATTTTTGTGTTTGTCGAGTGTTGACAAATTTTTATTAGTTCGTTGGCTAATTGTTTTGGTGACATACTGAACTTGTGCTAGAAATTAGAAGCCGCGCGCTAGCAATTAAATTTATATTACCATACGTTCCTATAATTCCATGCAATTTCGTATAATCATGAGATACATTCGGCGAAATTTGATTATATATTTTAGAATAATTGTACACTATATTTCGTATTTTTTAATTGGTAAGTAACGATAATATAAGTTAGTAGCGTTATATTATATTGACATGACGCTGAGATACACATATGCACGATTCTGTGATAGGATTTCGCTCATCGATGTAGCAACCTCGATTGTTTTTATAACAGATAATATTATAATGAATGTACTTTTTCTTGTCGATAGTGATGAGCGGTTCGCGGCTTGGCAGAGGCCGAGGTGGCCGCCTGGCTTTGTACGGGGGCTGCGCAGTGGCAGTTATCTTGACGATGATCGTGTATCGCAACACTATCTCAGAGATGACCAGGCTTCAAGAAATGCAAGTACAATGCCTTCATCAGCAAGAATCTCTCGCTGCTCAACTACAAGGTATGTTCAATAATATGAAACATAAATAACTAAAGACATAAATAACTAAAGTCAGAAGCTGAAACCAATTGTTGATTGTCGATTTAATATTTCATTTAAATTGTGAGAATATTGGCATGATAGATTGAGACTTTGTCACGTGCCAATATCGTTCAAGACTAATGTCTATTCCTGCCAATGTAGATATATTTTAATCTTGGTTTAATTTATTTTTTATCTTTTTTGAGTTCTAAGCATTAGAAAAAGGTAAATTAAACCGAGATTAAAATTCTACATCAGTAGAAATAGCCATAAGTCATTCATATTCTAGAGAATAAAATATTGCAGGAAGTATTATAAGAACCTTAATATGTAGGTTTTATTATTTATACAATTAATTTCCTCCGATTTAACATCTCAACTAGATTTTTTGGTAACATGATAATATACGATCTTTTCAGTAATATTTGAGTACAAAGTACGACTGGAGAAGTCTCTGGCCGAAGAGAAGAGCTCGAATGCCGCGGTGAAACAAGAGTTGCAGCAACGCGCGACGCGAGAGAAGTCTCTGCGTGACAAGGACAGCATAGAGGCGATGCAGAGATTTAATTCGCTTCAGCAGACCTATAAACTCCTACAGACCGAACATCGGGACTTGCAAGAGGAATGTAAGAAGCGTGAGAAGCAGACGCTGGATGAAACTAGCAGGTTGGAATCAACGCTGCAGGACTTGCGGGCTCGCATCCGGCAGGCTCAGGAAGACAAATCCAAAGCTCTGGAGCACTTGAAGACCAAGTACCTGGAAATAATTGATGAGAAGACCCGGCTGCAAGAAAAGTACAACGAACTGATAAACAATAGAGACAATACCGGTAGTACTGTCGATCATCTTAGAAAGGAGATCTTCCAGCTTAGACGCGAATTGGAGAGCGCCAAGGTACATTACTCGTTTCCTAAAAGTAACATGATTTAGTATTAAATTTAATTACGTAAACAGATATAATGCAACTTAAAAATAAGGTGTTTATAATGATATTTATTTTATATGTAGCATAATTAATAGTTGCATAGTAGTTAATAGAAAATTAAATACATGCTTGTTTACTAAGTTCTCATCTTTACGTTTTCTTTTAAGTATTCAAGATTGCATGAAGAGAATCAAGACAATTATATAAAAACGCATTGTTTATTATATAAAAAAAGTTGTGATCTTATGCATTCCAGAATTTCTATGCTAGAAGTACACCTCCTAGTTCAGTGTTGATGACTCCTCGAGCATCAGTGTCACAATCGATGCTGCCTAAGGAAGACTTACAACCGATTCCGGCGCCGCAACAGCAACAGGTAAGTGCGCCACGGCCACCATATGTGTCTCATGATCGTCGTGCAGTCGGAAGAACGACTCCATCGGTGGAAAAGATGAATCGAAATGACGACGTCAATGAGCCAGCCAACAATATCAGGTTCGTTCAGCAGAATGGCAACATCGTTCCAGCTGGTCCCAGTGAAATGAAAGAGATCGGCGAGCAACGCGAACCCTCAGCTAACGACTTAGAACAAAAGCTAAAACAGAAAGACGTTGTCGAGCGCCCAAATATTATGAACGAAGAGAAGAATGGCTTCGATGAAGAACAAAGAAAACAGGTAATGTCGCCGCCGCTGAATCGAAATGACGATGGTCCGAGGAATGATAATGTTTTGGTAGTGCCTGGTTCGCAAGCCGAGCAACCGTTGGCACAACCTGCTGTCGAGCGAGCGTCTACAGTCGCGTCTGGTCGATCAAATGATGTCAAAGCCCATGCGGAAGATGACGAACTGCAGGCTCTGCAGGAGAGAGTAGATGGGATACTCAATCGTGATATACCCAATAATGACGATAATGGAATTCGTTAGATTTAACTTTTTATTATGCATTTATAACCGGATTATTTTTAGTTTGTCAGGATCAATTTGAGTCAGATTCTTTGAATCTTAGTCCGTAAATTACGTAAAAGGTTAATTTTTTATTATGCAAATAATTATATACAGAAATTACCTCTATTATTAAATTATAAATTTTAATGAGAATTATTTAATTTATAAAATAATTCGTAATTATACATTAATATTAATGAATGACAATTTGTTAATTATTTATTAAAAAAGATTTTTGCTGAATTATTTACGGACAATAGGGAAGATCTAATCAATTATTTAAATCAGAGTTACAGTCATTTCATTCTCTAAGTCAAATGAAAAGATTTCTCACATACAGTAAAATATTAAATATATTTTAGGACTAATTGCTTTTTTCTAACAATTCTGTATGCTTTTGGGGTAAATAGTGCTATCATTAATGTAGGATTAAAGAGAATAATAAAGTTTTTCTACTTTTCATTCATACTTTCTCGAAATGTATTTTTATTGTAATCTCTTTTTTTCCCTTTCTAGTATTGCCTTGTATCACACGCATATTTGATAACACAGATTTGATTACACTACGCTTGATAAATAAATATAATATATATAGCCAATGTCATAATCTTATATGCATGTAATGAAGCAAAATTATTTATTGTTTGAGTCATTATTCTTTTTCTCTAAATGTATTATTTAGAGATTAGAATAATTCTTCTTGTATAAACTGTATATCTCAATAAATATAATACAAGAGGAATAATTCTAACTATAAATAATAAACGAAAACGAATATGCTAGATATTTGTTTGATTACTACTTTATGATTTTTTTTGGAAAAAAACATTTGGCTGTTAACGGATGCAATCTGTAATTTTAGCGGTTTTAAAGAATTGTTTAGTTGCAAATGACATATTTATATCATTTAATATAATATTATCTATTATTAGTAGCGTTTATATTATATTATTGTTTATTGCAGACTATTCCTAATATTTACTATTCAAGTATATAAAATATATATTTGCTGACGCTTTGTGTATTATTCATTAATATTAATACGGAAGCTGTTAACATTATATATGGACTGATTAAATTCTGATTTATGGAAATCCTCGTAAAATTGTTTAACAATAAATATTATTAATGACTCTAATTAATATTTTTAATAAATATTTTCTTAAAGAATCTCTAAAAAGTATTCTCTAAAGTACAAAAATGTTATTATCTTACAAATATCTTTAGACACCTTTTTAATTATTGTACTATTTACATTATTATAGATATTTTTATCATTATATAATTCAAATGTTATTGGATAAATGTTGGATATTTAATACATATAAATTTTGTCGTGTATATACAATCTTTTTAACCGATCTTTCATCTTTTTTATCGAGCTTACTTCTGTTATTGGATATAAGACTTCATGTATGTGCGTAAAATGGCTCGAGCCATACTAAATGTGCCTGTAAATCTGTGTTCCACAATGCATTAATAAATTGTTATTACGTTTATCTGCTTGCATTTTTATTGGCAACCTCGTAATAACCTAGCTACTATTAGCTTCTGCATCGCGCTTTTACTGTATCGCCGTCGCTAATTAATTTACGTTCAAGGCTATTGCCTTTAGTTGCACTAAATAATTGCTTTAGAATTTATCAAACTGTAAGAAAAGCTTGTTTTTATTTATGTAATATAGCTCTTTTCTTTGGATTGCTAATTAATATAACTCTCAAGTGGAATTATTTTGATGTAGAATCACTGCATTAAGCACTGCTATTTACAGCTTTCTCTGTAGTTTATAATTATTAGATAATTTGATGCGAAAACACTTTTTATGCAATTATGCTATGGAAGATTTACGTATTATTGTCAATGATTTATCGATGCATAATGTCACAAGATGATTTACGTCGAACTAACGAAACGGAAAATAGAAAATATACGCAATTCCTCAGCGTATTTCGAGAAATGACAATTATTATTATAACCGGTTTTATTATAACATTATATAATTACAAGAATTGAATAAGTAAGACGTCACAACAAGCAGTTCCCATCTGTCATTGCCAAACAACTATATTATATCGTATATAATTGTGTGAAACTTTTTTCAGAGCATGGTGAGTTTACGCAAAGCGGAGAACACCACTGTAGCGAACAACGCCAATCTGGTATCACCGTCTCTTATCGATAAACCCGCGCCGCTACCGGCCAGACTACCGTCGAAGGTCAAGGTGCCGGTCGGCGTATTGCCAATACCGGAAATCATCGAGCAAAAGGTTGTTGATGACATGGATAAAAAGAAGGAGATTCGAGATGACGTGTTGGCAGTGGTTCGCAACAATTTACAACCACCTCTGCCAAAACTCGCTCCGGCGAATGCGGTGGATGACAAAGAAGAAAAGGAGCCGATAGTTGAAGCTGGCAATCTAGACCCACCGTTCGTTGTGAATCCTCCCGCGCGACACGTTGGCGAACAACTCGAGAGGAGAGCAAAAGACTCTTGGTTGAGGGTGGGACCTGGGGTACAAGAGATCGGCGATGAACTCAATCGAGTTCCTGGGTGAGCCACAGTATTTTTATCGATTAAATATAATACAGTGAATATACAAAATATTCAGGAGAGATTTTTGTAAAATAGCTTTTTAGAAATAAATATTAGTAGAAAGAAACATTAATTAGCAATTTAGTAATAATGAGTAACTATTTTGACATAGAAAGCTTCGCAAAAATAACCATTATGATCTTAGAAGAGAATAGAATTTTTTATACGTTTAAATACTACTCACATATCTAAATAATACAAAATTTTTCATTTTTGCTTATTATTAAGGTAATATGTTTTATTTATCACATATCTTTTAGGTAAAATAATTTTGAGAAATATACACAATCTATTTTATTCTTTGTTAATAAATTGCTAATTAATTTTTACTTTCTGAAAATAAGATTTTTTTATAAAGATATTTTCTCTACAGAATGAATACTTTTTACGCTCACTATATATAAATAAGCATCGTGTACCTAAATATATAATATATAATATCGATAAGTATTTAGATTATATGTATAGTTTTGAACAAATAATTTTTGAATTTATTTAAATTTTTCTAAGAGAAAATATTTAGAGTTTTAATAAATTTATTATACTATATTCTTTGATTCTAGATTGGATGATGGGCAAGCCAACGGTGGTGACGATCAGTATGATGGTGCCGATTACGACAAGGAGTCGCAGCAAAAGAACGATATTCATCTTGCGGGCGAGGATGAGGGGGAAGGTAACTTGAGAATGATTAAATCGATCCGACCGCGCAATTGATGTCGCGACTGCAAAATTATTCTCGTATCTGAATTTCAGACGAAGGCGACATACTTGAAGGCGAATATCCGAATAATTTGAAGCAAGGAAAACGGGAATAAAATCAGCGCCGTCACGCAAATGTTTTTTAACACGACTAGCAGTCGGGTGACACAAGAGGAATCGACTGAAAAATAGTCAAATGACCTGATCTGACCTGACCTGGCCGATATTCATGATCGTTCGGGTTTAATCAGCGAAAAATACTTATTGTGTATTATAATCTATACAAATCATTCGACGTGTGTATGTGTGTGTGTGTGTGTGTGTGTGTGTGTGTGTGTGTGGGGGTGTGGGGGAGATTTTTCGATATTTCATGAGAAACTAGCACAGGGACAGCTAGAAATTCAATCTATCTTCATCTTTCATACGAAAGCTCTTGTACAAGATTTTAGCTAAATATCAATATATGATAGTATATACACGGTACAAATATCGTCAAGTGCATCCGCACGTTCGACGGAGACTTAGACGGTTCTGATAACTTCAGAAGGTTCAGATTGAACTATTGTAACGTATACTTTCAAAGAAGGAAAAAAGATAAACTGTATTTTTCTAGATTTTACCGTGCACGAATCGAGTGACTTAATCGCGTTTACTTGAGACACTCAACTTTGTTATAAATGCATTGGATTTAGATTGCAGAGTTAACTTTATAACGTGATGCGACAGAAAAATTCTTCGGAAATTGAATGAATCCATTCAGTATTTTTGCATTAAAATTAATTCGCGTTGTAATGATGAAATTTATCATGAGTTACTGGAATTAATCAAATTACTTTTTTTTATATTTATAATCACATGATAATTTATATATGAGTTATATATAGAAATTGAAATGTAAGTTACGTGTGATAATATCAAACTTTTTATTACTTTTGTAAATGTAAAAGTTATAAAAAAAGGTTCAGGTAATTTCTTCCAATTCTAATTCTCCTCTCTGTTTACGTTAATGAAATTTCGTTACAAATAACTTGCATCACAACACCATCACAGCAGAATTTTTATATAATATACAAAGTTACTCTTACTGTTGCAATCTAAATCTTTTACGATATCGTTATTATGATGACAATGACACATCGACAATTGATTTTATCAATTTTGTTAAAACAGCTTATATTAGTTAAATTGTTATAGGGCCGGTTGTTCCATCTTCGAATTAACTATGTAATAATTTATTTACTGGATAAATAAAAGAGTAAAAAAGTAAAAATATAAGAGTATAAGAGAGTAAGATAGTGAGTTGAAGTTTACCGTAGTGCTGGGATTTACTTGCACATTTTCAGCTTGGTTTCTGCTCCTTACTTCACTAACCTGTGCGCAGCCTAAGTATCGATCAGCAAGCTGAAAATCGGTCAAAATGTGCAAGTACTTAAATTTTAGCACTGGTTTACAGAAGTGTGTGGAACAACTCAGCCTTAGTCTTGTTTTCCATTTTACTGGTGCCTGTCATCGCTAACGATTGCAAATTATATGCGTCTATTTTCAGTGAAATTAAAAAATAGACATTTTATCAAGTTAATATTTACAAAAATTGTTTAATAGCAGATTGGAAGATTAATAGAAGAATATTTTTTACAAGATCTTATTTATTCTGTCCTTGCCAAAAATCTAAAGAATTATGACTTGAATTGATCAAGTTAAGTACTGAAAACTTAACTGGGATGAATGAATTATTAATTAGTTAAGCAGTTTAAGACGAGCGTAGGATAATGTTTTGTTATAGTTTTAGATTTTAGTTATATACATATATATATATATATACATATACATATACATGCAGAGAGACGATAAATGTACATAACATTTTTTTCGTAATAAAAACGACTGAAAAACAAATTTTTATTGGTTTTTTTTTAGAGAATTTCTTTGCAAATCAATAATCTCGACGAATCTCTACTGTTTTTAGAAATTAATTGAAACTCGCTCCGAGTAATATGATAATATAATAGATTATCGATGGAATCAATAACTGATCAAAATTAAATTATTAATGGTTTAAAGTTTAAACATAGTTACGTATATTTCCGATGTCGACGGAGATGCGTGCTTACTTTTTCATGGTTCAAATAGAAAGCAGAAGATATTTACTTCTTGATCGAATAAACATTATTTCGTCATCTGTTGACGATGCATTTGTCATTTATTGAGGATTGCTTTCTGAAGGAGCTTTTTTCAAAAATATAATTTTACCAAAAATGCATGCTTTGCAAAAAATAAATTCAAATGATATCTTAATTTTGGAAATTAATAAATATCTATAGATATATGTAAAAATATAAAATATAAATGCAGAATATACTTCTTTGCACATTATATAAAAATAATTTGAAGTCAACTTTTTAAATCATTTTTAAAGTTAAGAAAAATGAAAAAAAGAACTTTTTTCGTAAGATCGAGAGTCAAATGGGAATAACATGATTTACATTCTTCAACTATTTTCAGAAGTTTACTTTAATACTTCAATTCTGATTCAATCACAAAGATACACAATATTAAAAATTGAAGAGAGCTGCGATAAGTGATCTCGATAAATCTCTCTCGAGCTTTCGCTCTAAGTTGGAAAAATTAATTTCAGGTTAATTAAAAAGTAAAGCACGGAAGAATATATGTGCAAGGAATGTCGTATAAAAACATAATTTGGTTATTTGGTTATTATTATATATATGATTTTTTAATCATTTATGGATCTATTTATATTACAACGTACATATATTTACAGAAACATAATTGTATTAAATGATGTTATTTTACTAGTTATTATATGACTCGTACAAGAATTACATAAGCAACACCAGCATCTTATAATATTATCGGTTCTCAGAATCGATATATATGTACATAAACACACACACACACACACACACGCGCGCGCGTGCGCGCGCGCGTATATACAGGGTGTTTGATAAATAACGATAAATCTTTCGTACAGGGGCAGAATGGACTAAATTGAGAAGAAAAGTCCCCTATCATTTTGGAATTTTTGCAATAGTTAATAAGATATTAATTGCTAAAAATTGCTGAAAATTGATCTTCAATAATTTTTTACTCAAATACTATCAACTTTACAGAAAAACTGTAAGAGATAAAAATTATTTATTTTCTTCTCGCAAAATTTCGAGAATTTTTTCAAAATTTTTTCACAATTTTTTTTAATACTCATGTGTTTTCTCATGTTGGTAATAATAAGAAAGTGCAGTATTAAAAAGTTGATAAAAAAATTTTGAAAAAATTCTTAGAGCTCTATGAGAAGAAAATAAACAATTTTTGTCTGTTGCAATTTTTCTGTGCAGTTGATAGTATTTGAGTAAAAAATTAGTGAAGACCAATTTTCGACAATTTTTAGTAACTAATATTTTGTTTATTATTGCGAACATTGTAAAATGATAGAAGTTTAATCCACTTTCTCAGTTTAATCCATTCTGCTTTTGTACGAAAGATTTATCGTTACTTATTAAACATCCTCTATATCGATTCTGAGAACCGATAATAAAATAAAATGTTTTATTTTATTTCATATATATATATCTCAACATATAAAACATTTTATTTTTGTCTGCTTTGTGAAAAACAATACAATTAAAGTAACTCTTGTAAAAATGTAACCAAATTTATCATAAGTATGCCGCTTTAATGAAAATTTGAATTCGTGGATATTTGTAATATTATTACTTTTATATTTTGTGTCTTTTATAGAAATAAATTATATTATAGAAATTCTATTCATTATAAACAAACGATAATTTTGATCCATTTATAACTTTAATTTTAATTTTATATACATTCCAATTAATATATTTTTAATGAGTATATGTCATAATTTTTTATTTAAATTTTCATATTTAAATTTCTTTCAGTTTCTTTAAAAATCGAATTTATTCTATATTTATTTAATAATTTATTTTCTAAAACAATTTGTAACATCTTTTCTCATATTTGGTAAAATTGTAGGACAATTTAAAAATTTAAAAATAAATGTAAACAAGCATATTGTATTCTTTCTTTCTAGCTTATTATACAATATTAAAAATAATACAAAAATATTCTCATCGCTCTTTACATTGCAGCGCTTTTTATACCCGTATTTCCGTAACATCTAGAAAAATTGTTTATGTGTAAAAGTACTGTGAACACATAACTTTCACGTTTCTCGTCCAGAATATAAGAGAAACAGTTTACTTATTTAGTAACCTTTTGCCCGAGAGTTATCATCGCGGACTTTATTCTCGGTGAACTATGCTTCAAACAGACTCTTGCAGCGGAATCAAGAACGCAAACATACTCTAGATTCGTGCGTGCACGAATCGTCGTTTTAATCTTTTTTAACTCGATAATTTCCCCTGGCTATCAAATGTTCTACAGTAATTCGCTCGCCTACAGGCAGCGTTATCCAACGAATCCAATGAATAGCTAAAGGAAGTTTGCACGAACGTTTCAATTATTTCGTCATTAATTTGATTGAAAAATTATCTTATATATTTTGACGGTGTTAATATACTTTCCAGACAAATATCTAGTTTCTAATAATTACTAATTTACGAAAAAAAAAGTAAAAAATTAAATTTTATCAAATGATAATAAAATAAATTTTATAAATTTTATTATTTTAAACATATTAATTAAATTAAAAATAAAAGCATTTCTTTTTTTCATTTTTATTATAAGGAAGAAAAATTTTTTTAATATTAAACTGTACAAAAGAATCATTTGATATTTTGTTAAATTATAATACATTTATGTATCATTATTTGAGAGAACTGAATAAAAAATTAAAATAATGTAATAAATAAATAGAATATGTCGAAGACTTTCGCTCGAGGAGGTTTATTTTGACAAGATTTGCCACAAGTAGCATTGTTATATGTTTTGAAGACATCGCAGATATGTAGTCACGTTGCTTAGACAAGATGCTCACGTCAGCGACGTTTGTCTACAAACATATCAAGTGGTCGTCTTCAATTATCCTTTTGTGAATCTTCTTACAGATTAAAAGTGCTCACGTACTAGCGACCTTCGTGCAAGGTTGCATGACCGCATTGTGAGTCACTTTCTCATATAAAAAATTGACGAAAGAAATTGACGGGAATTTATTTGATGAAATTATGAATCCCTAATATTCAAAATTCAAAGGTTTACCAAAAATAGATATAAAACATGAATTAAAATAAATAGATCAAAGATATACGTATCAAGAAATGCAACATGTAATTGATATAATTATTAATATTGCGTTGAATATAAAATGTAATGAACATGAATATAATTGTATTATA